CTGAGTTGCTTTAACTTTTTGTCATCCTCCCTAGTGTTCCAAACTTAATCCCGTAGACAAGTGGGCACATACCTTTTTGACTCCAGCAGTCATTACAAACGACAGCTGTGAGAGCGTTTTACATGTTTCCATAATAAACCTCTCTGTCCTGATTAAATATTAATGCACCATCTCTCCCCATTACCTATTATGTCATCAGTCACATCAGCTGCAGCAGGAAGGTCACCAATAACAAGATAACAAGGATGCCTCTCTCTTTCTTCGAAACAAAAACAAAAAAACTAAATAAAAAGAAACCCCAAGCTGCACTGTTTATAGCAACTAATAAAACCTCTGTGAAGACAAGCGCTATTTATTAGCATAACTGATATACAAGTGCGTGGGAGGGGGCATAAATAGGAGGATGCTTCCCTGCCTTAAATTTGTTTATCACACTTATAAATATTTCAGACGCGCTGTATTTTCATCCGCAAAAACCAGCACATAGAAACATCACATAAGGTGAAAACAATATTCAGAGGTCTTTCTCCATGAACTGTTTCATTGCACTGTGGAGCCTTTGGATGGAACCAGACAAATAGTTCGGTGCTAGGGCATGTGTTTTGCAATCAGAAGGGTCAGGGGATCAAAATCCCTGGCATCTCCACTGAAAGTATCTCAGACAACAGAGCTGGGGAAAACTACTATATTACAGGTGAAACTCGGAAAATTAGAATATCGTGGAAAAGTTCATTTATTTCAGTAATTCAACTTAAAAGGTGAAACTAATATTTGAGATATGATCATCACAGTTATAATAAAGGCTTGACATATCTCGCTTTGCATGTTATGAGTCTATCTCATATATTAGTTTCACCTTTTAAGCTGAATTACTGAAATAAATGAACTTTTCCATGATATTTTAATTTTCCGAGTTTCACCTGTATATCCTGAAGACCCGTTGCCAGTGTAGCCAGTACTCACCTAATGTACCAGTGGCAGCTCCTATGTTTCATGTGGGTGGATGAAGCAGCCAGTGCAGATCTTTCAACACTGGCATGGTATGTGTAAAGCTGAGTGTCCCACTACAAAGGCTGTAAGGAGGCAGCCATTTCTGTCTTGCCCTGACTTCCTCATTATCAGAACAGTTTCCATTCTGCTACAGTTCAGCTTCTGCTAAAATCTGTTTTATTCATCTCACTATCCACCATGGCCAAAACGAATAAATGTCAATGCATTACAATGGAAAGGAAATGTCTAAAATAGTGCAGATAGTACAGTGGTGCCTCGCAAGACAAAATTAATTTGTTCCGCGAGTTTTTTCATCTAGCGAATTTTTCGTCTTGCGAAGCATGAAATCCCTTAGGAATGCATTGAAATTCAATTAATGCGTTCCTATGGTCAAAAAAAGTCCAAACAAAGCCAAATTTGGTACAACAAGAGTTTATTAAGTGCTCTTTAAAGTCACACCCACCACACAGAAATTCAAATCCAGAACTTTTTTTAAAAAACAGCAGAGTGGCCCAATGGTCACAAAAAATCATAAAAGTGCAGGAAAAAAACACACAAGCTCCCAGATTCTTGCAAACCCCTCCCCAACACCAAGTCCTTGAATTCCAAACACCCCAACCCAAAATCCAAAACCCCCCAAAAAAGTTTTAAAAGTTTAACTTACCAAATGGCTGCAAAAGAAGTTTTGGAAAAGCTTCAAAAATCACCAAAGTCTTTAAAAACCTCAAAAAAGGCTACCACACCGCGTTCTATGAGTTGCTCCTCGAAGTCAAGTCGCAACTGTATTAACGGTGTTAAGAAAAAGGAAACAAACTTGCAAGACGTTTTCGTCTTGCGGAGCAAGTCCATAGGGAAATTCGTCTTGCGAAGCAGCTCAAAAAACGCAAAACCCTTTCGTCTAGCGAGTTTTTCGTCTTGCGAGGCATTCGTCTTGCGGGGCACCACTGTACATAGCTTGTGTGTGTCATTTGTGGGCTAAAAACAGCTAATGATACCTGATACCAGGCTGATTCACTTGCAAGATTTCTGTTCCTGACTTGCCCAATGTGGAAATTTCCACTCTTGTTTCATTTTCTGATAGATTTTCCCCCATATCACTATCCACTGAACAACAAGCAGCTGCACTACCACGAGCAACTTCGTTTCATCTTATTCACTAGTTTCTTTCCTCTGGTGTCAACACTTCTGACTGATGTCCTTTCATATAATACCTCAAGGACCACCTCTCCCCATATGAATTTACCCAGACCCTGCAATCATCCTCTGAGGCTTCCGGGTCATGTGGCCAGCAGGACTAAGCCGCTTCTGACGAACCAGAGCAGTGCACGGAAATGCCGTTTACCTTCCCGCCGGAGCGGTACCTATTTATCCACTTGCACTTTGAGGTGCTTTCGAACTGCTAGGTTGGCAGGAGCAGGGACCAAGCAACGGGAGCTCACCCCGTTGTGGGGATTCGAACCGCTGACCTTCTGATCGGCAAGCCCTAGGCTCTGTGGTTTAACCCACAGCGCCACCTGCGTCCCCTACATATATTTAGGCTTCATACAAAAGCATCCCTCGTCTTCTAGGCCTTTGACTAACTGAACAATCTATGGCCTTTTAAACTGTTGGGGGAGGGAGATATTATTTTTGTTCATTACGTACTATGTTATGTACTTTTGTATTTTATATTGTAAACTGCCCTCTTATCCTTGAATGGAGGGCTATATAGAAAAATTATTATGATTATTGTTGTTGTTGTTATGGTTATTGCTATTAGTATTCCCTGTTAGCTCAAATAAGCTACCAATTCTGAGTGATTATGATATGCAGAAGGTCTGGCTATTGGCACTAAACAGCAAGCTAATACTAATTTGTTAAAACTGTTGGTCTTGCTTATGAATGAATCATACCTTCCCACTTAGAAAGCATATATAGAGATGTTCTACAATCTGCATCTTGATGTACAAAGATGTAGCACATAATATGATACACTGCCTTGAAATGATCAGTCAAGCTGAGTGGCCTTAGACATCCAGATAGCATTTGTGTACTATCACTTTGCTTAACAAGGAAACAGCTTACTAATCAGCACAGAAGAGGAATCTTTATTAAGGTAATTAGAATGAGCTAAACGGCAGCCTGGAAGATCAGAATCCCAGAGGGCAGAAAAACCCAGAAATGACTCCATCACAAGGAAGCCCTGTTGCAACAGAATTGTGAATTTCACAGAGCATCTAATCCTTGTAAGACATTAATTGTGGGGGGAGGGTTATGTGTACACTGTATTGATATCAATATAACCTGAAAGCCAGTACTGTTGATGTTCAAGCAAATAACCAGAAAAACAGAGTAGGACATCTTGCCAAAGCAGTGGATTTAAAACCATAATTAAGAACATGAGATGAGGCCAGTTGCCAATCTGCTCCAGCACCGGTTCTCACAGTGGCCAACCAGAGGCCGGAAGGAAGCCTACAAACTGGACACGAGTGCAAAAGCACTCAGCTTACCTGCCATTTCCAGCCACTAGTATTCACATGCATATTGCATCTGACAGTAGAACAGAGGCATCATCTGCCAAAGAATATTGAGGGGGTGCAACACAACATCCTGATGTCACTCCATGTCCAGCTCTGCACTCAACCTCAACCATAGGGGAGCCCGCCCCCCTCAAAATAAAAGATTGAGGGGGGTCCAAAGAGCCTCAGCCCCCTGGAGCCGGCACATATGCAGTGGAGATGGAAACTAGCAAGCATAGCCAGTAGCCTTGCCCTCCATAAATTTGTCTAATTCTCTTTTAAAGCCAGCAAGGTTGGTGGGAATCACTGCCTCTTGTGGAAGTATGTTCCACAATTTAACTTATGCTAGCAAAAACATCACCTTGCCGACAAAGGTCCGTACAGTTAAAGCTATGGTTTTCCCAGTAGTGATGCATGGAAGTGAGAGCTAGACCATAAAGAAGGCTGACTGCCAAAGAATTGATGCTTTTGAATTATGGTGCTGGAGGAGACTCTTGAGAGTCCCATGGACTGCAAGAAGACCAAACCTATCCATTCTGAAGGAAATCAGCCCTGAGTGCTCACTGGAAGGACAGATCCTGAAGCTGAGGCTCCAATACTTTGGCCACCTCATGAGAAGAGAAGACTCCCTGGAAAAGACCCTGATGTTGGGAAAGATGGAGGGCACAAGGAGAAGGGGATGACAGAGGACGAGATGGTTGGATAGTGTTCTTGAAGCTACCAGCATGAATTTGACCAAACTGCAGGAGGCAGTGGAAGACAGAAGTGCCTGGCGTGCTCTGGTCCATGGGGTCACGAAGAGTCAGACACGACTAAATGACTAAACAACAACAAATTGCATGAATAATGGTTTTCTTCTGTCGGGAATCATCCAACATTGAGTTTCACCAGATGCCCATGAGTTCAAGTGCAATGAGAGAGGAACTAAACTTTTCTCTACCCACTTTCTCCATGTTGTGCATAGCTCAATACATTTCCGTCATGGCACCTCCTACTTGCCTTTTCTCCAAACTAAACACTGTCCTAAATGGTGCAACCTTTCCTCATAGGGGAGTTGCTCCATCTTCTGGAAAATTTTGATTGCTCTTGACTGAACCTTTTCCAACTCTGCAATATCCCTTTTTGAGATTTTATTATTTACATGCATACATGGAAGGCAATTCTTGTTTACCTTTATTCACTAAACTGTGCTGTTGTGTGAGGAATGCACATCCACAAGCAATTAGCTTCCAGATACTGGCAAAGGCAGCCCTGTTTCTCTATTCACACAACTGAATGGAGAATGGCATGAACATTCTGCTCTTTACTTTAGATTTGTACCTCACCCATCCTGAGCACTCAAGAGTGGATTCCGCTCTTCTCCTTTTTACATTTTATTGATAGCTAAGAAAACATACAGTGGATTCCAACAATTTTCTGACCCAAGAGAAAGTATTTCTTTTGCAGCAGCTTTAAACACACACACACACAAGTCAAAATAAGTTTATCAGAAAAAGCATTTTTTTATATATTGTGTAATCAAATCTTTTTCTCTCCACACAAATGAAAACGTTAGCTTGATGTAGCCTGCAGATGTGGATGGGAGACATGCCATCAGATAAGTGAGTCCTCTATCTGAAGGGCTGTCCAGTTCATGTTTGACTTAAAGCTTAAGAAAAAAATTCTAAGAAGGGAGAGTGGGGTGGGGTGGGGTGGAGTGGGGTGGGACAGCTTTAAGATGCCCACCTACAGCAGCTGGATAGCAATGAGGAAGCTCACAGGTCACAGTCTTTGCCATTATGATGAAAGGGATTGTATTTCTGTTTAAAGTAATAATACTAATAAATAAATAAATAAATGTTATTACACCAACCTTGAGAACCCATCCACAGAAAAGCAGTCTTTGCCAGGAATAAATACAGCATGTGAATGTTGATTTCCCCCTCTTTATTTCCCAAAAGAACTGAGAAAAGAATCTTGCAAAAAAAAAAGAAAAAGAAAAAAAAGAACATGCATTCAGCTTGTTGTGGGGTGAGGGTTAGGAATGGCTTGAAACCGAAAGCAAACATTAACCTGGCAACTCCTACATTTTATAGTAATATTTAGCCCCCCAACTGAAGTTTGTCCTCAGCAATGTTAGACTGCTAGCTCTATTAATAACTTAATGCACAATAAATAATACATTATTCAGAATAGCTTGTACTTTTACATTTGGTACAATACTCACAGGCTACTGGCACCAGCTTACACATGATTGCAAGTGACACCTCAAAGCCTTTCAAAGGGGGAAAAATCCACTGCATTGAAAACAGGACCCACATCTGCCCAGTGTAATGCTCATCAGTGCTTCACAAGCATCACTGAGAGGCAGAAGACCTCCTGTCATAGCACGGGCCTCAAGCTTGGAGAAGGAAGAGAGTTCAGCTGGGGAACTGAGCCAGTCTCCCGATTCTAGTATGTAGTTCACAGAGCTCAGAATGCTCTGAGACTGATGGTTCAGAGCCCTTGTGACTTAAAACCAGTGGCCTGGAGCCTGCAGAGGACCTTCACAGATGCTGCCTCTAAAGAAGCCTGGCTCACCAGACAGAGGTGGATTTAGGAAAGTGTGACTGGTTTGGTCACACTGGACGCAGACACTTGGAGGTGCTGCAACTGTAATGTAAAATTGAAGGTGAGAGGTGCTGAATTTTGGCGCCACACAGGGTGCCACTGAAATCTGAGAGCCCAAGGTCTGCCACTGCACCAGAGGAGTAGAGTGCCTCCTGCACTATCATGCCTGCCCAAAGGTGGAGGTTTCAGCAAATGGGAAGGCAGAGAAAAACAATGAAGTGCTCATCATTTGCACCAGGAATGAGCCCTTTCGACCAAAGAGCTTGGGCATGGGGATGGGAAGAAGGGATTCACAAGACCTCAGTTGATCTTGAAGCTTTGTTGGAGCAAGCCACTCAGAGCTACCCATGGGACTGCAACCACTGGCTAGTCTTGATCACGCAGATATCTGATATGGGGGGATGAGAACCAGCGAATGATATATTCTGGAAGAGAGAAGTAAACACTGGAAGGGATAAGTGACATCTAGTTCAGGTGTGGTGAAGTTGTGGCCCTCCACATGTTGGTGGACTCTTGTTCTCATTAGCCCCAGCCAGCATGGCCAATGGTCAGGGGTGGTGGGAGCTGTAGTTTAGCAATGTCTAGAGAGTCACAGGTTCTAGTTCAAAAACCTGCTCTTCTCCACAATGGCAACTCCAGGGACAAAGTGTTCTCAAGTAGGCCCCCTCCATCTGTCAGGGAAGCCTCCTGATGGGCTTCCCCTACTGCCAAGCAGTAGTGATGGGTCTAGTCGATGTTGGAATTTCTTACAAAGAAATTGTGAGAACACAAGGCCTAGGCAGAACTTGGTTTCCTTTGGCATTGCACTGTTGTTCCTAAGCAAGAGTGAATACTCAGGATCATTTAACTCAAGTCCTGAGCCTGCAGTCATGAACTGTAAATTTACCGCACATCAGTGAATCACAAGGAATCCAGCAAATAATAAGCAGAGTTTCCAGGGTAGAAATCAGCCCATGCCTGCCATAAAGTAGCACACAAGTAGACAAAGTCCATAAGCCCAAGATAACAAGTGGGCCTGCAGTTAACTGTTGCAACATAGAGAGCATCTAGCCAGGACTTCATCAGAAATGTGCAATGTATCAATGCAGGGAGATACATGGCAGCCCCTTCCCTCCCAAAAACTGTGGAACATTCAGACCCTTCCTCCACATATGCTCCAGACATCATAACAGCATTTATCTTGCTCAGTAACAATCTAGATCCTCTTGGCTTTGCTGCAGTGTCAGTGCTTCCAAACACAGGCTACAAAGGTTTCGGAAAGCTAAACAGCTCTGATCTAAGGTGACGTTTTAGCAAAAAGAGCCATGGCTCCAAAGCAGGGCTTGCTTTTCTTTCCTTTCATTTACAAATGCCTTCCACATGAAAGAAGAACAGTTCAGAGGATCAAAGCAGACCACCTATGCAAAAGGGGACAGCAATGGCACTGTTCAGTTGCTTCCTCTCACCTTTGCTACGGTTTAGTCAGGTTGCTATTGGGGGTGGGAGGGAGAGAGATGGCCACCCTTCCATTATCCAGAAAGAATTGTGGAAATTCTTGGCATGGAACAATGTCACTCAAACCTGTTCTACAATTTTCCTTTCCAGACTCTGATCAATGATAAGTAGCAATGCATCTGCAGTAATGCATAACAAAAATAATGTTGGGGGGGATTGCTTTCAGATTAATTGAAAAATAAGAAATGTGCAACCTTTTGAAGAGCCACAAATATCCAGAGAAGCAAGCAGCAAATCCTCATTTCCACTAGCAGTACCCGTAAGGAGGCACATCTAATTAGGCCATCTAATGCAACCCTTTGCAATGTAGGAATTCTGCCCACAGCCTTCCCTGGGTGGGCTCGAACCACCAACCTTGCAGTTAACAGCCAGGTGCACTGAACTAAGGTCAGGCTCAATGCTCCATTCTCAGGGGCCTCAGAAAACATTAGCAGTGCCTCAGACCTAGAATGGGAGAATAATTCTGATACAAATTTAGAAGTCACCTATCCTTTCTGCCACAACCAAGGCTTTGTTTCTCCTCCTTAAGGCATAGACCACATCATGCACAAATCCCTTTATGCAAACATGGCACTGGCAAGATATCATCACATATGCGCACGCACACACAGATGTTATTCCAGAGCTGTGTGCTGTGGTTAGATTCCTATAGTTCATTTCGCATTTTTCTTTGTTCCGCTGCCATCATAGACTACTGTATTAAACATTCATGCTGCTGTTCCATCTGGAGAAAAACCAGGTCAAGGCCCAACTGTATTAAGGGTTACCAGCCAGGATCCTATGCATTATGCATCTCCATGCAAAGAAAACATGCCAGAGCCACCTCCCTTTAGCTTAGGTTAAAGCGTTTTCGCTCAGACTCGTAGTGAACACACATACATTCAGACCATACACTCTGAATCAGCAAGTCAAGACTGCTGAACTTTCATCAATTCAGTTTGCATCCAGAGTGCAGATTGATCCAGAATGCTGGGTTTGCAGATAGATTTCTCCCACAAGGGAACAGCACAATGTCACTTCATGCCAGGAAAAAGGATTTGCAGCACTTATTTTAGGCATCATGTTAAAACTATAAGTCCCCACCCCCCTGCCCAAGCCCCCAACGTTCCTATCTCTGTCAGGGATGCTTTCAATTGCAACGGTCCAAAAGGGGCTTCTTCAATGTGTCCAGCTGAATGCATCGACAGTCCTACCCATAGTCAGGAACCTTGGGTTATCAAGGTTCCAAACTGCATGGAACACACTCAGGCTGCATTCACACGGCAGTTTGTTCTGTTTCCCTGACATTTATCTAACTGTTGATTTCCACTTTATATATGGTCCTTCACATGATGTGAAAGCCACTTCTCAAAACCTAGCAGAATATAGTTGAAGTTCGGCACTCATTTCCATGTTAATCGCTTAAAAAAAAAACAACCTGTTTGCAACCCAAATAATCCAGAAAATTGCAGGAATAAAGCAACAAAACTTGGATGGAATACTGGCATACAATTCTTTCTTTCCGTTTTCATGGGGGAACAGAAACATGCATGTGCAGAAAGGGTGGGGGAGTAGTGCTGTTGTTGAATGATGTTTGTTGCTGTGTCACATGACCACACCCTCTGCTGTGAATGAAATTTTGCCTGCCATGCCAGTATATTGCTTAAAACAACAACAACAACAACAACAACAACAACAACAACAACAACAACACACACACACACACAATTCCACAAAGCAGCAGATACTGCAGTATGAAAGGAACATCGAAAACAGGACAGAAGTGCCAGCATTAATATCAGGGAAACTAATGCAATATTCCCCATGTCTGAATGCACCCTTAGAAGCTAGCTTCTGACACCTGTGTTTTCACACAAAGATCAAACATGAAACCTCCAGGGATTAAGAGGGCATGCATCACAATGTCCCCAACACAAGTAGCTTTTAAAGCAGATAGCATATTGCATCCATCACCATCCTACGGGTCTCAAAATATTTTTGACTACAACTTTGGACTGCAGCCTGACTGGGCCTAATGGGAGTTGTAGTCAAAAACATCTGGAGGACTCAGGTTGGTGAATAATGCCTGAATAGGGCTAATGTGAATCCAGTAATCAAGTAATTTTCTTAACAGACATCTTACATAAGGTCAGATAATACCACCTAGTGCTGTGCTCTAATGGGCAGTTGCTCTCTAAACTGGATAATGTGGCCTGATCTTTTTAACTGGACATGCTTGGAATTGAATCTGGGGCCACCTCCATGCAAGGTGTGCTCTAAAACCGCTCTGTGGCACCACGGGGCACCTGGTGGGCCACTGTGAGAACAGGATGCTGGATCACATGGGCCTTTGCCGTGTGTCAAACTTTACAGTCCTCTATATGAAAATGTTCTTTGCTTGGAGAGATTCCAGTCCGAGTCCAGTTTTAAAAATAAAGACCCAGAAGAAGAAGGGGGGGAAGAGGCCTTGAATTTGCCAATCAACTTTTTGCACCCGGACATCAGATTGAGCAGCCACGTGGATCAAATTATCTGCAATATTGTGGGACGGCTTGTATTTTAATTTAAATTATAAAATTTAAAGGTATGCAGCCAGACATACAACTATTATGCACATCTGTGTCTACGTTTGTCCTTTCCCCCTGGTGATGAAGAAATAGTCACCCTAATGGCAGCATCATTCCCATTCTGTAGGACAGAAGGAACTGGACATCAGGAGATGCTGGAACCAGGCCCTGTGATAGCATGTCACAGATCTGTGGCTTCAGCCAGCACCACAGTGGTGGACTGATGCTACACCAATGACAGTCATGGACCCAATTTGACCACATATAACAACACACAGGCAAATGATTTTAGCCCATGCATTACCACATTTTTCTTTTTCTTAAAAAAAGGCCTGGCTTTATCAAACAGCCTCCTCTGTCCTCTGCTTTCATTAAAATACTATTCAGTTGGCTGAAGTAAACAAAGGAAACTTAAGAGCTCCCTGGTCTCCCATTAAAACCCTTGGCCCACTCTAAAAAGCCATTTAATTATCAGTTCAGAAGCCATCCCTTTATTTACCTGACTGAAACGAACATTTGCTCTTAATTAGCCGACTGGCTGAAACTCAAGGAATCAAGGGGGTGGGGAAGCTGATAAGCAAATTGCAATACAGATACAATCTGCCAAGCAGGTTGGTCAAGAGAATTAGATTTACACCATCAGAAACTGCTAACGCTCCAACTGTTCTCATGTACTGGAGATGTTTTGCATTGCCTGATGCCAAGCCACTTCAGACACTGCTGCCCCCAGTTTGATCCCTACTTTGCCATTTCTAAATATTGATAGCCAGGGTGGTGCAGTGTCCTTCTGTACAGAGGACAGCCCTCTCTTTGAAAGTCTGCCTAGTTTAACAGCAAATAAAGAAATAAATGAACACAGGAAGGGACAGTAGGATGGGCCTTACAATAATACAGTACATTAATGAGGGGGGGGGTTACCAGGACAGAACACAAGGTCTTCTAAAGAGGTAATATATTTCTATTTAACTTTTTCTTATTCAATTTTATAGCAAGTTTAACAAACAAACAAAAGGAAGGACAAGAAAAAAAGAAAATAAAAAGCCAAGGAAAACATCAGTTCACATTAATAATACAATGACCATTAGTATATCCACCTTGGTTTAAACATGTAAGTCAGTATTTGCCATCCAGATGCTCTGATATATATACAAATAAAATTGATGTTTATCAGGGGGGGAAACAATTCAAAAGTAGCAAAGGCAGTAAGGTCCTTGGCTCATTGTATAATTGATGGTGGGTGTTCATCCTTCCAGTTTCCATATGTAAGGGTGCATACATACCATGCATTTAAAGCAAATTCAAAGCAGATCTCTCCCCCCCCCCAAAAAAATATATATCCTGGGAACTGTAGTTTACCCCTTGAAGCCTGACATGTGGTATAGCATTGCTGATCACAAACTGTGTCACATACACTATTTCAGCTGCTTAATTTTCAGTATGCACACTCTGGCTCGTTCATGTACAACCTGTTCACCTTGCTCCTTAGATATCTCTTATGACGATCCATTCCAGCTAGCTGCCTATTTTAGGAATCTGCATGTTGTTAAATACTGCAGAGCTCTTATTCTGGCCAGAATTAAAGTTCTTCCATCCCAAGTACTTTGGGACAGGTAAGCTGCCATCCCTTTTCCCTTCAGGCTATGCACTTGTAATAATAGGAAGTAGAGTCTATAGAACATGTCTTTCTCTCCTGTAATTTCTATGCTGGACTTCATATGATTGGCCCTTTGCTTACCAAACTTCCAAGAAGGTTGATTCAATTTTATATTCAATGGAAGGTAAAAATGCAAAGGTGTCTCTCACAGTGGCTGAATTAATTCTGGTAGCAGTGAGGACAAGAGAACAGTTCAACAGCTGAAGCTGGAAGGACAGGCTTCAGGGAATCACTCAGTATTATTGTTGTTTTATATCAGGCATAGGCAACCTCGGCCCTCCAGATGTTTTGGGACTACAGTTCCCATCATCCCTGACCACTGGTACTGTTAGCTATGGATCATGGGAGTTGTAGTCCCAAAACATCTGGAGGGCCGAGGTTGCCTATGCCTGTTTTATATGATTGTTCTTCTTTTGCACCTTACAATCTGGTTTTCCCTTAGGCTTATGTGCTATGTGCTTTTAATTTTTTTAGTCCATTGGTTGCAATAAATTGCTTGATTGATTGAATATGCCCACAGAGTTGCAAAATGAATGGTCCAGTGTGGATTGCTGCTGTTCTGGGAGCAGGTTCCAGATAACTGGGATTGTCATAAGATGATAGGAAACTGCAAAGTCATACTCTTTGTCTGTGGACCCCAGAATTGCCTTACTGTGGACATTGAAGGCTCATCTATTTCAGATGGATTTCTTGTAAAAGGAAAGGAGCTGTAGCCCACTGGATTGCAATTGGCTGTAAGGGTTTTAAGGCTTACTTGGTTTAAAATGGTATTGTGCTGGTTGGGTCCCATCTTTTATTACTCTGGTGAGCTTTATGATTTTTATGTTGTGGCATAGTATGATAATTTTGTAAGATGGTCCTGAGTGTGTTTTAATAGAAGGAATGAGGGGGGGGATTTGATTCAGTTCACATTTAGAGGCAAAACTAACTAATTAATACTTTACAAAACAATATATGGGCTGAAACACAGCCATACTTCCACACTTGCAGTTCCCTGAATTTTGCAATACAGTTCTCTAGTCAAGTAATATGTACACAAATTATTGTTGCTATTATTAGAATTAATTACCCACTCTTCGGCAAGGTACCAGGATGGGTTAAAGCACCTTGACATACAATATTTACTTCCAAAACAAAACAAAAAGTGCATTCTAGGGCAAAGTGAACAGGGGAAATGCACATAATTGTGAAAATAACATGCAAAATGGCATTGTATTGGGGGGAAATGGCTTTGTAAAAATATACAAGTTGCATACAGAAGTGTATATATTAGACAAATGTGCATACAAAGATACATTAGGAGAAATTCACACTAAAATCAGATTTGCAAACTGATACAGAAATGTGGAGAACTGAATTTAAGATTGGGAAAATTAGAAAAGATAAACTGGAATCTCTGTTTAATTCTATATGGAAGCTACCTTGTGGCTGCATATTTATTTATTTTAAACAAATAGCTGATTAAAGCTCTGGCTCACAGTGGTTTTCCAGGGTCACAGGTAATGATGTTTCCCATGATATGTTACCTTCCAACTTTATAATTCTATGGTCCTTTTGAATGGAGGCTCCAAGGACTGAACCTACTCTGCTGACTACTATAACAATGAATGTATTACCAAGAATGTTATTTTTGTTTCAATCAATTCCGGTGGGAGAAGAGTTTAAATTAAAAGAATTTAAGGATTTATCAAGAAAGTTAACAACATGGATACAATATCATTAACTGAATGAAGTATTTAAGAAAAATTGGAACTGAGGGTCTGGGGAACAAATATCACAAATGGAGAGAGATCTGTTGGAATGTAATATTAAAGTTCTGTCTAAAATGTATAAGATATTATTGGACTGGGAAACAAAGGATGAACAAGTAAATGATGCATTGGGCAATAGATATTGGTTATAATATAGATATGGAAGCATGAGAATGATTATGGACTACGGATATAAAATTTACAGCAAGCTATGGTTTAAGAGAAAACTATACGGAAATGTTATTTAGATGGTATCTAACACTGAGTAAACTGGCAAAAAAATATAAATCAAAATTGAATAAGTGTTGGAAATGCAAACAGAAAGAAGGTACTTTTTATCATATGTGGTAGTCTTGCAGTAAGGTTAAAGCTTACTGGGAAATGATATATAATGAATTGAAAACGATGTTAACATTTGTAAAAAAATGTTCCTTCTGGGAATTATAGGGGTAGAACTACCTAAACAGTATAGAAATTTATTGATGCATGCGACTACAGTGGCAAGAATGTTATTTGCCCAAAAATGGAAAGGAGGAGTCCCAATGAAAGAAGACTGGATACAAAAACTCATGGACTGTGCAGAAATGGCTAAAGTTACTGGAAAATAAGAAATCAAGATAACAAACTTTTTATAAAAGAATGGAAATGGTTTATTGATTATGTACAAATAAATTGTCAACAGATAAGGACATTGGCAGGATTACTGAAATAACCTGAAGTTTCATAAGAGTAAATAGTTAAAGTAGATGAATAAAAGAATAGGTTACGTTAACTTAGAGTATGCAGGAAATGATAAATATAAATTTAAGGAACCACAGAAAGAGGAGGAAGGAAGTCAAGTTTTGTTAAAATGACTGTAAAACTATTGAAATGCAGATAACTGAAAATTACAAATAAAAAAACCCCAAGCACCTGCTCTGTCACTGAGCTACAGTCCTTTCCCAAGCAAGGTCTGACTGACAAGACACCATTCCCCTGCGGCCATGCCATTCCATTGTGATTAACAGACCAATACCTCAGGAGCGCAAGCACGAGAGCTGCCACACTGGGAAGTCTTAATTGGCATTAACAAATATTTCAGGATGTGATGTTTTGCTAATTAAGAGAGGGAAGGAAAAGTAGGCACTCTGTTAAAGTTTGCTTTGCAGTAATAGTGCCCTTCAGATGTTGGCAGCGATGATGATAAAGCAGTAACGCATTTTCAAACACCAGTTCCTCGAAAGTATGAGCCTCTTTATAGCTTTTTATGTGCCTACAGCAAAATAAAGTCTCATTAAGACTCTCAAAGCAACTGCTTGCTGTTCTAAGTGGTGGGGAGGTCCCCTACTCTCTACCCCTTCAGACACTCAGATGGTTTCATTTTAAGAGCTACCAAAGCAGCTAAAACATTTAAAATATAACAAGTTATCACTGGGCTCAAAGGTATCTAGGATGGAAGCGATGTGGGGACCTTTTTGCATTCCATTAACCCTGACATGACTGTTAGCAATCTGGCTAATCTTAAAGCAGATATGTGGGTCTTCATCTATTTTTATTTGAAAACCACTGCTCTGGTTCAATCCAAAAGAATATGGGATGGAGGGAAAGTATTAAGTTGACAGGAATGCTGTTATTTATTTTAACTGAGCAAAAAATTGCCCATGTGAGAAAAGTAAATAAAGCAGTAATCCTTCCGAAGGGCTGGGGTGGAGAGAAACGAGGGGAATTGCAACTTAGAAGGTGGTCTTATTTGCACAGAGGAGTAAGGTGCACAGCAAGCTTACAAACGTTTACAAAAGGGATCCTGTCAATTCCATCTTAGTGACAATTGATGAAAATGTTTGATAGGGACACTAGAATGAGTGAGGAAATTGCTGCCCAAAGAAACTGCCAGTTAATCTGCCAGCAATATATATATCTCCTTACCTGTCGTCAAGACAGATTTTTTTTAAAAAGAACCCAGAAAGGTGAAACACCAACAGCAATAAAAATCGTAATGAGAAATGTTTGCCCTGAAAGCACAAGAGACACGGGTTAGGGAGAGGGATAAATACCTCCTTTAACCTTCCTTTATTATCCAAGAATGGTGGGGAAGGGAAACTATGGTAGCTTCCACACTACTGCTCTTTCATCAGTAATATGAGGACACAAACAAGATTTATTACTACCTACAATGGACAGCCATAGTGCTCTGCTTTGTGCCCAGAATGCAGAGACTCCCAAGCACATGGAGAAAAATAAACACTTGTGTGTTTTTTTAATTTGTATGCATACTGTTTCTTCCTCCAAATTAATGCAGTTTTCATTGATTAATCTTCAGCCTCTTAATAGTTTGGTCAACTATTTAACTCCAATGAGATGCTTCTTGCTTATGGTGAAGGAGCAGGATGCAAAAGTATTAGTTGGAAAACTTCAAGTGCCGTATTTTTCGTTCTATAAGACACACCAGACCATAAGACGCACCTAGTTTTTGGAGGAGGAAAACAAGGAAAAAAATATTCTGAATCCCAGAAGCCAGAACAGCAAGAGGGATCGCAGCGCAGCGAAAGCAGCGATCCCTCTTCCTGTTCTGGCTTCTGGGATAGCTGTGCAGCCTGCATTCGCTCCATAAGACGCACACACATTTCCCCTTACTTTTTAGGAGGGAAAAAGTGAGTCTTATAGAGCAAAAAATACGGTAACTGAAAGCAGGGATCTTGGAGGCACTAATGTATTCAAATATGTACCATACAAATCTGGGAAATTATCTGTATTCTAAGTTTTGTATGGATGATCATGGAACAAGCCAAAGACTCGGCATCCTGTTTTCACAGAGACCAACCAGATTCCTGCAGGAAGCCCGAAAACAGGACCCTTGAGTACAAGAGCACTTTCCTCTTGTGATTCCCCAGAGGCACACTGCCTCCAACAGCTTGTTTCATGAAGTTTCCAAACATTCATGCAATTTCCAAACCCATGTTCTAGCATTATAAGAGGAGAAAAATATATT